ACATGGCGCGGGCCGCGTTGCTTGTCCAGCGTGCCACTGGAATCTGATCGCCGCCCTCGCTCCAAATCCTGCCTCTTTCGTTGTCGTCTTCTTCCTCCTTCCATCAGATCCTTTTCTGTCCTTTTCTTGCCCCTTGCTCTCACCCCCATTCCCTCTTCGAGCCTGGAGCCTCAGTCGTCGTCCTCCGATTGGTGTCCTGTGAGTCGTGCAACGCGCGCGCATCCCATGTAGCTTGCACAGCAAATGGCGGTTCCTGTGTTGTCATCAGCCATGCTATTCTGGGCCAGCTCCTCTTGTCGCTCGAGTCAAACGGATTGGATACGTCACTCGGTAATTGTATCTATCCGCGGCCGCGTGTCATAGCCGACCTGGAACCCCACAGGACCCATGCGCCATCGGAACAGGGGAACTTGTGGGACCCGTGCGACCTGGGGGACCTCTGTGGCCTGCGGGGCCTGTGAGCCCTGCGACACCTGTGGGGCCTGTGGAACCTGTGGGACATGTGGAACCTGCCAGGCCGGTGGTTCCTGTGGGACCTGTGGGACGACCTGCGACACTTGTGGGTCCCGTGGGACCTGTGGGGCCTGCGAGTGCGAGACATGCGGGACCTATGAGACCTGTGGGATCCAGAAAAATAGTCTACACTGGGGAGGGAGCGTCATTGTTAACGACGGGAGCACAGCGCCGATCCGACAATGAGGTCCACGCTGCAGCGAGAGCACCATTTTTGATCAACTGCGAACCATCGAAGTGTGGAACAAAACAATGGAAAACCAAGTCGCGCAAATCCGTGTAAAAAACACGACGTGGCGGGGGGAGCACTCTCAGGACATTGTCGGGGGAGAGAGGAGATCAGCACTCGTATTGTGCAAACGTAAAGGAGCAAGGAAAAGGGAGGGGTGGAATGGGAGCGAGAGGAGGGGGAGAGAGAAAAGGAAAGTGGAGGCGAGAATGGCGTCCTGTTTAGTAGTCCCCGCACGCTGAAATTCACCATTCATCCTACGCGTGGGCGTGTGGGCGTGAGCGCCGGTCTGGCGAGTCCGCCAACGCTGGGCTCAAGCGCAATGTAGGGCTTCGAGCGCGTTGAACACGCAATGCTGCACATGCGTGCTGTGATATGATAGGAACGTTTGACGGCACCTTCCCACCACTTTGTGCCGCTCTCCCATCTATCTACCTCACCCTCTCTCTCCCTCGTTCGTCTTCCCCGCCCTCCCTTCCTCCCTCCCTCCCTACGTGTACCTCCCTTGTCATTCCCTCGTCCTCCTCCTCCTCATCATCAGCATCATCATCACCATCACCATCACCATCACCATCATCATCATCATCATCATCATCATCATCATCATCATCATCATCATCATCATCATCATCATCATCATCATCATTATCAGCAGCAGCAGCAGCAGCATCAGCATCAGTATCAGCATCATCATCATCAGCAGCATCATCATCACCAGCATCATCATCAGCATCATCATCAGCATCATCATCAGTATCATCATCATTAACAACATCATCACCACCACCATCATCATCATCATCATCATGATCATCATCGTCATCATCCTCATCCTCATCCTCATCCTCAACCTCACCCTCGTCCTCGTCCTCGTCCTCGTCCTCGCCTCGTCCTCGTCATCATCACCACCAACAGCAATATTATGATCATCATCGCCACCAGCATGTCCCAAACAAAATCGCTGGCCCTACGGGCCAGAGGCGTGCAGCGACCTCTGGAAACTGGTAAACCGTAGTTCTAGTTCGCGCGCGCGAAGCGGCCCCTGGGAGTCCCTGGACAAAAAAAAACGGGAGAAGCCTGGGCAGTCCGGGGCAGAGATGGCTCTCCTCCTGGGTGCGGCATTTCAGGCGCCCCCGAGCGCTCCAAGAGGACCCCAAGAGGCCCCACAAGACGGTCCGAGATGGCTCCGAATCGCCGACCGATCTGTACAAGACGCCCCAGATGGCCTCCAAACGGCCGAAAACGCTTCCAAGACGCCCCAAGAGGCCTCCAAGAGGCGTCGCAAGAGGACTCCTAGAAACATAAGCAAGAGAGGTTTCTCAGGTTTTTAACAGATTTTGGCAAGCTCGCGTTTCAGCTCCGTGGCGCCCCAAGACGGCCCAAGATCGCCCCAAGAGGCATGAAACGGGGCCCCAAGACATCCCAAGACGGCCCAAGAGGGCCCCAAGACGGCTCCAACAAGTGGTCCAGACGGGGGACCCGAACGGCTATTTCCGGCCTTCGGCACCCATTGGCCCTCAATAGGCCCCCAAGAGGCCACCAAGAGCCAAAGCGGCCCCAAAGAGGCCCCCAAGAGGCCCCAAGAGGCACCCAAGAGGCCCCCCAAAGGCCCCAAGAGGTTCCCCGAGGCCCCCGTGATGCCCCAGGAGGTCCCCCAAATACCGCCGAAAGGCACCCGAGAGGCCTCCCAAGGACCCCAAGAAGCCTCCTGCTACCCTCCCCGAGCACGTTCAACTCGTGCGCAGGCGGACCCAGGATCCCGCACGACTCGTCGTAGAGCGGGCCGATTGAAGTCCAACATCCTCGCAATCGGCAAAGCGCCCAGCCCGAAATTCAAGCCGCAAGCGGAACCCAAACAAATAGTCGAATGGCCCAACAGCGGAATTTCATGGGTGACAAGCCCAACTTCACGGGTGACAAGCCCAACTCGCAATGGTGCCGCATGCCCATGACTGCACCCAGCCAAACCCCCCTGAATCAACTACACAGGAACTGCTCCGCCTCCAAGACTGCCGACGTAGCGCCGCTGGAAAACGACCGCCGCCCAGAAGCGCAACGCGGGCAACGAGCGCGCGGGGGCAAAAGCCAGCGATGCCACATGACGGGCTGGCGGAATGGGCGAAGCGTCATCACTTTCCTCGCGCTGTCGCCACCACTCCGGTAGGTCTGGTCGAACACCAGCTCGCGGGTCGCCATCAGCGGCGCGTTACCGAAGAGGCGCCGCACATCTGACTGCCGCAGCTCGTTGGTGTAATCCATATACTCGACCTGCGCGACCATGGCAAGGCCCTTCCAATAGCCCTCGATGAGGTCGCTCTCGCCCTAGCCCCGCCTCCAGAAGCAAACCCACTCGCCTATCTGGAACGCCTGATACAAGGGCCTGTTCTTCGCCGCCAGCGCCTCCAGCGCCGCGCTCGAAGCGTTCGCCGCCTGGAAAAGCGTGCTGGCGCCCCATCCAGCGCGCCAGGTCCGGGTAGAACTCCTCGTCCTGCTCGCCCAGATCTCTAGGCCGCCGCCTCAACGCCCGCGGCGCCAGTGCGAAACCCTTGGCGCTGCGAAATCGACCCCTCATGTCGCGCGCGACACTCGCCGCCCGCCCCGTGGCGAGCTCCCCGCGCCGCGCGCCGGGCCGCGGGCCACTGTTAATGGTTGGATGCGAGGGCTAGGCGAATCCTTTCAACACGCTGGCCGCGAATCTGGAGCCGATTCGCTCCCGAAGGTATTCTCTCGCAGTTGTGGTATCAGCTCAGGGGGGCCCGACATCGGTTTGAATCAAACTCTGCAGCAGCGTAACGTACACATGCATGCCACAGAATGGCAATGAAACCCGAACGACGCAATCGTCACATCATGCATAGCTAGATACATTGGAAAGGGTCTGTGCCATTGACAGAGGTGCTGGTAGAAGCTTCAAAAGGAGCTGCAGCAATTTCGATTGTAGAAGCTGTAGTAAGAGCTGTATGTAGTAGAAAATGTAGCAGGAGCTGCAGTAGCAGCTGTTGTAGGAGCTTCCGTGCAATCTGACTGCAATGAGAATCCTGAGGAAGCATCGGCTATCCTGGGGAATCTGGTGGATTCGTCCAATATCCTGAGGAATAGGAGTCATGAGGAATCATCCGGGATATTCGGGGATACAGGTCCCTGACGAATCCTCAGAAATCAAATAACATGAAAGTGAAACGTGAGATATTGAGGGAATCCTGTGGAATCGTTTGGGATCCTGCGGGGCAATCTTGAGGGATCCCTTGGGAGTCGTATAAAATCCATAGGACTTTGTGGAACCCGAAGGAATCCCAACGAACTTTGCGGATACCTGGGGAATCCTTGAGAACCCGAAAAAATCGTATGAAATCATGAGGAATACCCCCAAACCACAAGGCACCCATGTGGAACCCTGAAGAGCCATGAATCATTCTCGAAATCCTGGGAGATCCTGAAAATCCTCGGGGATCTTCTGAAATCCTGGAAATCCTAAGAATTCCTCGGGAGCCCTGCGGAATCCAGAAGAATGTCCAGTAATCCTGCCGCGTCCTAGGAGTTTCAAGGAATCCATAAGAAATCCGTGGATGCCTCTAGAATCCGCAGAAAGCTTGTTGCATCCTGCAGATCCCGCGGGGTAGTTCGAAAATTATGAAGAACGATGCGGGTTCCTGAATAACCCGCAGGAGCACTGTGGATCTTTCAAGAATCTTCCGAAATCCGCTGAAACCCGCAGACTAAAGCGAAATTATCAAGAATCCTTGGGAGCATGGTGTAATCCTGCAGAGCTTGAGGAATCCTGGGGGACCTGTGAAATCGTGTGGTTCCTCAAGAATCCAATGAAATCCTGCGCAAGCCTGCGAAATCCTCTGGACCCTATCAGAATGCTAAGGTAGACTGCAATACAATCGGAATGCAGAGGCATCTTGCGGGACCCACGAAACGCCAAAGGAATCATGCGGAATCCCAAGGAAGATTGACCTTAGGAATCCTTCGGGTCTCTACAAGACCTTGAAGTGGATTCAAGAACTCTGCGGAATCAAACGGCACCCTGATGGGCCCACATGACATCTGAAATCCAAAGTATCGCTTGGACTCCTCAGGATTTCTTTAGAATCCTCAGGAACCCTGCGGAACCCCAGAGACATGTTGGAATCCTGTTGGAGCTCTGGCGGATCGGCAGCGGCCCCCCCTGCCTCTCGGCGCGCGGCGCGCTTGCGGCGACATGTTTCGAGGAACGCCCGCACGAGGGGACCGAGACAGGACCGCGCCAAGGGGGGGGTGGGCGCGACCCAAGGCAGCAGACTCTGGTCCGCGGCACGGCTGGTGCCTGCCCGGCGCTGCGCTGTGCTTCGCGAGACGCGTGCTGCCAAGGGAACCCCAAGCAACGCGTCGTCGTCGTCGCCGTCGCCGTCGCCCTCGTCGTCATTGTCGTCTCTGTTTGGCACAGATAGAAGTGGGGGGCGGCGGGGAGGTACACCGCCTTCTGCGCCTCCTCGTCCTGCCTGTCCGTCCGCTGCTGCTTCTTTATGGCCTGGATCTTGCGCTTCTTGGCCTCCACGACCTGCGACTCCCAGCCACTTTCTCGCTGGCCTCCTCCTCCTGTTCCTTCTGATCCTGCTCCTCCTTCTCCTCCTCATCATCTCATCATCAACATCTTCATCACGGCCATCAGTACTACCATCATTATCACCATCATCAGCATCATCATCATCATCACCATCATCATCACCATCATCATCATCATCATCATCATCATCATCATCATCATCATCATCATCATCATCATCACCATCATCATCATCATCAGCATCACCATCATCATCATCATCATCAGCATCATCTTTTCATCATCAGCAGCATCATCATCCGCATACTCATCATCCGCATCATACGTATCACTACAATCGTCGTCGTCATCACCAGCATCATCATCATCCTCAACAGCAACTTCATCAGCATCATCACCATCATCACACCATCATCATCTTCATCATACTCCTCATCATTATCGTCGGCATCGGCGTCGACGAAACCATAATCATCACCACCACCACAATCATCATAATCATCATAATCATCATAAAAATCAGCATCACCATCACCACCACCATCACCGCCACCATCATCATCATCATCATCATCATCATCGTCAGTATTGTCATCATCGTCAGTGTCGTCATCATCGTTCTCCTCGTCACCGCTCAGCATCATCATCATTATCGTCGTCGTCATCCTCCTCATCCTCCTCATCACCATCATCATCATCATCGTCATCGTCATCCTCACCGTTGTCATTATCAGCTGGGGTGTTAACACCCCCCCGATTCAAACCTGACTTCGTAAATCAAGAAATACAATTCAACAACGCCTGGCCCGAAAAGTCTGCAACTTCAACGACGGGGCCAAGCAGAAAAATACAGTTGGAAAGGAATGTGCATCTGGATTTCCAGAATTAGAGGGGAGTTTAAATCTTAGGCGAATTCGAATTAGAATTGCCAGGGCAGCGTCAGGGCCAGGCAGAAAAATACAGTTGGAGAGGAATGTGCATATGAATGTCTAGAGTTGCGGTAAATGTGGATAAGAATTGCCAGGGACGTGCCGGGGCCAGGAAGAAAAGTGGAGTTGGAGAGGAATTTGCATGTGAAGTTCTAGAGTTAGAAAGGATTTTGAACGTTAGGGGACTCCGATTTAGAATTGCCAGGGCCGTGCCACGGCCAGGCAGACACATTGAGTTGGAGAATAATTTGCACATGAATTTCTAGAGTTAGCGAGGAATTTGACTTGTAGGTGAATTCGAATGAGAACTGCCAGTGCCGCGCCACGGCCAGGCAGAAAAATTGAGTTGGAGAGGCACCTGCGAATGAGATTCTGGAATTAGAAAGGATTCTGAATCTTATGGGGGATCCGAATCCGAAGTGGCCATGGCCAGGCAGAACAAGTACAGTTGGAGAGGAACTTGCAAGTGAATTTCTATGCTTAGAAAGGATATTGAACCTTAGGGGAAGGGATTGCCAGGGGCGCGCCAGGGCCAGGCGGAAAAATACAGTTGGAGAGGAATTGGTACGTTAATTTCGAAAACATTTGAATTTTAGTAGAGGAATTCGAAAACATGTATATTGGATAGGCAAGGAGTTGGACACCCTTGGGAATTCGAGGAAAAACCTATTGGGGGCTCGAAAACATCCCCCCCTGAGTTGGAGAGGAATTCGAAAACATTTGAATTTTAGTAGGTGAGTTCGAACTAGGATTGCCACGGACGCGTCTGGGCCAGGAAAAAAAATACAGTTGGAGAGGAATGTGCATATGAATGTCTGTCTAGAGTTGATATGAGTTCGGATTAGAATTGCCAGGGACGTGCTGGGGCCAGGAAGAAAAATGGAGTTGGAGAGGAATTTGCACATGACAAAAATGTTCGCTACAGTACAGCAGTAATTGGTTTAGGAATCATTTGCTCTAGCGCGCACTGTAACCACGTACAAAAATAATTGGGACGGGCACTAGTCATGCAGGCCCAGCTCGTCAATAAGAAGAATTCGAGCATGAATTTCTAGAGTCCGCAAGGATTGTGAATCCTCGAGGAGTTGCAGAGGAATTGAAATCCGCCGACCCTGTCGGCGTGTGTGAGGGGCTTGTCCGTTCAAGTCGTCATCTCCGTCATTCGTTGGTCGTCGTCTCTGTCGTCCCCTTTCCCTGCCTCCCCCTTTCCCTGGGCTCGTCGAAGCTCCCCCCTTTCCCATGGACCTCCTCAGCGCGCCAGCCAAAGCGAAGTTGAGCAACGTCGTAATTGAGTCGAAGGGAAGCCCCTTCCCTTCGATCCCTCCCCCGCCAGGGGGGGGGGGGGGGGGTCCCGGGGGGGGTCCCAGGGGGGGGGGGGGGTCCCGAGGGGGGGGGGTCAGATACGACGCCCCCCCTTGGAGTCCCGGAGCCCAAAAAAGCCCAAGACGGGCCAAGAGTGCCCCAAGAGGCCCCAAAGACAGTCCAAGAGAACCCCGAATCGCCGAACGATCTGTCCAAGACGCCTTGACGGCCTCCAGACGGCCAAGAGGCCTGCAAAGCGCCCCAAGAGGCCTCCAGGAGCTTTCCCACGAGAGCCCCAAGAGGCAAAATTCATGGATTTCCCATACGTTTTTGAAAGATTTTGGCGTTCTTGCCTCTTCCGCTTCCCGACGCGCCAAGACGGCCCAAGAGGCCCCCAAGATCGCCCGAGACGGCCCAAGAGGCCCCCAAGAGGGTCCCCTAACGGCCGAAGAGGGCCCCAAGACGGCCCAAGACGCCTCCAAGACGGCCCAAGAGGCCCCCAAGACGGCTCCAGGAGAGTGCCCAGACAGGGGACCCGAACGGACATTTCGAGCTCTCAGCCCCAAGAGGCCCCCAAGAGGCCCTGAAGAAGCCCCAAGAGGCCCCAAGAGGCTCCCAAGGGGCCCCCAAACTGCCCCAAGACAACCCAGGAGAGCCCCAAATTGCGCAGGAGACCTCCAAGAGTGCCTCGAGACGGCGCAAGAGGAGCCTTGGACGGCCCAAGACGGCCTCAAGAGAGCCCCAGGCTGTCCCGAGAAAGCCTCTGGCCTCCTCCTTTTCCTCCTCCTCCTCCTCCTCCTCCTCCTCCTCCTCCTCCTCCCCCGTTCTCTCTCTCCTCCTCCCCTCTGCTCCCCCTCGTCCTACCCTCCTCTACCTCATTATCCTCCTCTTGCTTCTCCTCCACATCCTTCTCCCCCCTCCTCCTCCCTCATCCACCTCCACCACCCTTCCGCCATCTCCCACTCATCCTCCTCCCCCTGCCCCCCCTCGTTTTCATCTTCGTCGTTCTCAGGGTCGGCGGCACCGGCTTTAAGGCCTTCGCAATATGAGTTCCTAGAAGTAGACAGGATTCTGCCCATTCGGGGCCAGGAAAGATTATCCCGGCAAAGCAACCTAACAGCGATGTGTAGAAGCATATCTGAAAGCATTCCCCTTAAGATTCAGATGAAAATCCAGTTGTCGAATTCTGCTGTTCTCGCAGTCGTAGTCGCATTCGCGATGACAGTCGCAGCGGCAACGGCAGTCGCAGTCACAGCCTCAGCCTCAGCCTGCCTCCTCCTCCTCCTCCTCCTCTTTCTCCTGCTCCTCCTCCTCCTCCTCCTCCTCCTCCTCCTCTTCCTCCTGCTCGTCCTCGTTCTCGTCCTCCTCGTCTTGCTCGTCCTCCTCCTCCTGGTGCTCTCCTCCTCCTCCTCCTCCTCCTCCTCCTCCTCCTCCTCCTCCTGGTGGTCCTCGTTCTCCTCCTCCTGGTGCTCTCCCCCCCCCTCCTCCTCCTCTCCTCCTCCTCCTCCTCCTCGTCCTCCTCCTCCTCTCCTCCTCCTCCTCCTCCTCCTCCTCCTGGTAGTCCTCCCCCTCCCCTCCTCCTCCTCCTCCTCCTCCTCTTCCTGGTCGTCCTCGTTCTCGTCCTCCTCGTCTTGCTCGTCCTCCTCCTCCTGGTGTCTCTCCTCCTCCTCCTCCTCCTCCTCCTCCTCCTCCTCCTCCTCCTGGTGGTCCTCGTTCTCCTCCTCCTGGTACTCTCCCCCCCCCTCCTCCTCCTCCTCCTCGTCCTCGTCCTCCTCCTCCTCCTCCTCCTCTTCCTCCTCCTCCTCCTCCTCCTCCTCCTCCTCCTCCTCCTCCTCCTGGTACTCCTCCCCCTCCTCCTCCTCCTCCTCCTCCTCCTCTTCCTGGTCGTCCTCCTCCTCCTGGTCGTCCTCCTCCTCCTGCTCGTCCTCCTCCTCCTCCTGCTCGTCCTTCTTCTCCTGCTCCTCCTGCTCCTCGTCCTGCTCCTGCTCGTCCTCGTCCTCCTGGTCTTGCTCGTCCTCCTCCTCGTCGTGCTCTTGCCCCTGCTGAAAATGTGGCCCAGGAATGGGAGTTCTGGGAAGTCGAAGAGCACGAAACTGCCAGCAGTTGGCTACGGGCATTCAAAATGTGGCCCGGGAATGGAGTTCTGGGAACTCGAAGAGCACGAAGTGGCCTACAGTTGGCTCCGGGCATTCAAAATGTGGCCCGGGAATGGAGTTCTGGGAACTCGAAGAGCACGAAGTGGCCTACAGTTGGCTCCGGGCATCCAAAATGTGGCCCGGGAATGGAGTTCTGGGAACTCGAAGAGCACGAAGTGGCCTACAGTTGGCTCCGGGCATCCAGAATGTGGCCCGGGAATGGCGTTCTGGGAACTCGAAGAGCACGAAGTGTGTGACTGTTGCGTCCGGCTATTCCGAATGTGGCCCGGGAATGGCGTTCTGGGATCTCGAAGAGCACGAAGTGTGTGACTGTTGCATCCGGGTATTCAGAATGAGCCTGGGAATGGAGTTCTGGGAAGTCGAAGAGCACGAAGTGTGTGACTGTTGGCGAAAAACGAGCCCGGCACCCTGCCGCCCGGCAACTCCCAACACCTGCCCGGACCCCCCTGTGGAGTGATCTGTGAGCTCTTTTTAGACCACTAGAAACCTATCAGTCTTCGCTGTTAGGTAAAAATGAAATTAGAGAGGAAGTGTAAAAGGAATTCCCAGAGCTAGAAAGGATTCTGGCCGTTCGGGGACAGGAGAGAAAATTGAGTTAGAGAAGAATGTATATAGGAATTCCTAGAGTTAGACAGGATTCCAGCCACTCGGGCCCAGGAAGGAACATGGAGTTAAAGAGGACGTACAAAACGAAATCCTAGAGTTCGAAACGATTATGGCCATTCGGAGCCAGGAAGGAAAATGAAGGTAGAGAGTCATTTCAATAGAAATTCCCAGAGTTGGAAAGGATTCTGACCATTCGGGGCCAGGAAGGAAACTGAAGTTAGAGTGGAATTTGGATAGGACTGCCTAGAGTTGGAAACGATTCTGCCCATTCGTGGCCAGCATGGCGAAATGAGTTAAAGGGGAATTTCAATAGGACGTCCAAGAGTTGGAAAGGGTTCTAGCCATTCGGGGCCAGGAAAGAAAATGGAGATAGAGAGGAAATTGCATAGGAATTCCTAGAGTTCAAAAGGGTTTTGGTTATTCGGGGCCAGGAAGGAAATTTGAGTTATAGAGGAATTCCACTAAGAAGTCCTAGGGTTCGACAGGGTTCTGGCATTTCGGGGCCAGGAGGGAAAATACAACCAGAGAGGAAATGTAATAGGAATTCCCAAGAGTAAGAAAGGATTATTCGGGGCCAGAAAGGAAAATGCGGATAGAGAAAAAAACAGGAATTCCTAGAGTGAGACAGGATTCTGGCCATTCAGAGCGAGGAAGGACAATTGAGCTAGAGAGGGAGTGGAACAGGAATTCTTAGAGTTAGACATGATTGTGGCCATTCGGGGCCAGAAAGGAAAATAGAGTTCGAGGGAAATTCAAATAGGAATACCAGAATCCTAACTCTAGGACTTCAGAATAATTGTTCCTGTCAAACTCAATTGTCCTTCCTGGCCCCGAATGACCAAAACCCAATCTAACGCTAGGACTTCCTCTCTTTAAATGCCTCTCTAACTCCAGTGTCCTTCCTGGCCCCGAATGGCCAGAATCCGTTGTAACTCGAACAATTCCCATGAACATCACTTTCTAACTCAATTGTCCTTTCTGGCCCCGAATCGCGAGAATCATTTTTAACTCAAAGAATTCCTATACAGATCCCTCTCTAACTCGATTTTTCCTGTCTGAATGACCAGAATCCTTTCTAGTTCTTAGAATCCCTATTTGAATTCCTCTCGAACTCCATTTTCCTTCCTGGCCCCCGATGGCCAGAATCCGTTCTAACTCGAGATGTTCCTATTCAAATCCATCTCTAACTCCATTCTCCGTCCTGGCCCCGAATGGCCAGAATCCGTTCTAACTCTAAGAATTCCTGATGAAATTCCTCTCTAAGTCCATTTTCCTTCCTGGCCGCGGATGGCCAGAATCGTTTCTAAATCTAGGAATTCATACCTAAACCCCTCTCAAAGTCAATTTTCCTTTCCTGGACCCGAATGACAAGAATCCCTTCTAGCTCTCGGAATTCCTATTTTAATTCCTCTCTAACTCAATTATCCTTCCTGGCACCGAGTGGCCAGAATCCTTTCTAATTCTAGGAATTCCAACCAAAAGTCCTCCCTAACTCCATTTTCCCTCCTGGCCCCGGATGGCCAGAATCCTTTCTAGCTCTGGGAATTCCAACTTAAATTCCTCTCTAACTCCATGTTCCGTCCTGGCCCCGAATGGTCAGAGTCCTTTCTAGCTCAAGGAATTCACATTTCAATTCCTCTCTAATTCCATGTGCCTTCCTGGCCCCGAATGGCCAGAACCCGTTCTAACGCTAGGAATTTCTAGTTTAATTCCTCTGTAAGTCCTCTACGATTCGGAATCCTCCCTAACTCTAAAAATCCATGCTCGATTTCCCCTTAATGACAAACTGGACCTGCATCAGTAATACCCGTCCCAAGTATTGCTGTACTTGCCTAACGTGCGCGCTACAGTGAATAATTCCTAAACCAAGTAATGCAGTACTGTAGCGAACATTGTTTTATTCGTATGCAGATTCCTCTCCAACTCATGTTTTCGGCCTGGCCCTGGCACGTCCCTGGCAATTATGATTCGGATTCCCCTAAAATTCAAAACCCTTTCTAACTCTAGAAAATTCATGTACACATTCCACTCCAACTCCATTTTTCAGCCTGGCCCAGGCACGTCCCTGGCACGTCAAATTCGGGTCCACCTGAAAGTTAAGTTCCTTTCTAACTCTAGATGTTCAAATGCAAAGTCCTCTCCAACTGAATTGTTCTGCCTAGCCCTGGCGCGCCCCTGGCAATTCTAATTCGAAATCACCTAAGGTTCAAATTCCCCTTTAACTCTAGAAATTCATATGTAACGTCCTCTCCAACTCCATTTTTCTACCTGGCCCTGGCACGTCCCTGACACGTCTGATTCGAATTCCCTTAGGATTCAACATCAAATTTTGGGAATTCAAGCCCTAATTCCTCTCCAACGATTGATATCCTTGACATGTAAAACTTCTAGATTCTACCGCCTGGGTCATAAGTCCAAGTTCAAACAATTCGAACTTATTGTTAACATCCTAGTTCATCATCATCAGCATCATCATCATCATCATCATCGTCATCGTCATCGTCATCGCCAACGTCTTCAACCGCATCACCATCCATCATCATCATCACCATCATCATCATCACCACCATCATCATCGTCACCACCACCATCATCATCATCCTCCTCATCAGCAGCAGCATCATCATCATCGCCACCATCGTATCATCATCATCGTCGACATCGTGATCGTCATCATTATCGTCACCATTGTCATGGCTGCCGTCGACATCGCCGTCGTCATCGTCATCGTCATCGTCATCATCATCATCATCATCATCATCATCATCACCAACACCATTATCATCATCATCGCCATCGTCATCATCATCGCCACGTTCGTATCATCATCGTTGGCGTCAGGATCGTCATCGTCATCATCACCCTTATCGTCATCATCGTCAAGATCGTCATCATCGTCATCCTCGTCACCGTCATCATCATTATCAGTAGCATCGGCATTATCTTGTTCCTCCTGCTGCTCCTCCTCCTCCTCCTCCTCCTCCAAGTCCTCTTCCTCTCATCCTCAATCTCCTGATCCGCCTCGTCCTTCCTCTCCTTCTCATCCTCCTCACCCTCTATCTCCTTCTCCCTTCTCTTGCAGGACTAACCAGTCCATGCGTGGGGCAGTCATGCGAATCATGCACAGTCACGCAGCGTTCCTGAAAATGTTGCTGAAGTAGTGAGTATGGCAAAATATGTGATCAAGGCTGACTGTTGTCTGCCCCGCTTTGACTGTATCTCCTTCTTCCCCCCCCTCCCTGTTCCGATTCCTGCAATTCGATTGTGCTTCTGCTTGTGCTCTTCCTCTGCCTTCCCGTCATTACTTTCGTCTCGGCTTCGTCGTCGATAATGTGAAAAAATATCCAGGTGCAGCGCCTCCGTCGTGTCCGTCTTCTGGATAACCATACTCTCGGGAATCTTGTAGCCCGCTGGGGTGGAGACCTTCACAGGAGGAGGGAAAGGGAGGAGGAGGAGGAGGAGGGAAAGGAGGGGGAGGAAGGAGGAGGACGTGGAAATGAAGTATGTGGGGGAGGTGGAGGTGTCGAGGTGGAGAAGGAGGAGGGGGAGGAAAGGAGGAGGGGAAGGAGAACGAGGAGAGGGGCGACGAGGAGCAGCCGGAGGGGAACGAGGAGGATGAAAGCGAGGAGAGAGAGAGAGAGAGAGGTAGAGATGAGACTTCGGGTCTTCGAGGTCCAATAGCTTACCTAAGACAAACAGGTAGAGATGAGACGGACGAGGAGGACGGGAGAGAAAAGGAACGACAATGAGGAGGATGCGAGCGAAGAGTATGAGGACAGGGGGCGACAGGGAGTGACAAGGAGAACGAGGAAGCCGAGCAGGACGACAAGGAGGAGAGGGGGCTCGGAGGAAGGCGAGAAGCGCATGGGGCGAAGGAAAAGGAGAAGGACCAGGAGGAATAGAGGAGGGACGCGAGGACGAGGAGGACGAGGAGGACGACGACGAGGAGGACGAGGACGAGGAGGAGGAGGACGAGGAAGAGGAGGAGGACGAGGAGGAAGAGGAGGAGGAGGAGGAGGACGAGGACGAGGAGGAGGAGGACGAGGAGGAGGACGAGGAGGAGCAGGACGAGGAGGAGGACGAGGAGGAGGAGAAGGAAGAGGAGGAGGAGGAGGAGGAGGAGGAGGAGGAGAGCAAGCCTCCTTGATCTGGCGTTTCTTCTCCCCCACCTTGCCGGAGCTGTGCAGCCTGGGCGAGCGAGGCGCCGAGGCCCAGCCATGGCGCGCTCCCCCCCTGGTCGTCCCGTCCAGAGGGCGGGAGCGGCAGACAGCACGACAGGCGGCAGGGAGGCCTCCTCCTCCTCGTCCTCCTGCTCCTGCTGCTCCTCCTCCTCCTCCTCCTCCTCCTCCTCCTTTCCTCCAACTCCTCTCCTCCTCCTCCTCCCTCCTCCTCCTCCTCCTCTCTCCTCCTCCTCCTCTCCTCCTCCTCCTCCTCATCATCATCATCATCCTCCCCTTCCTCCTCCCGCCTCCCCCTTCCTCCTCCTCCTCCTCCTCTTCCTCCTCCTCCTCCCTCCTCCTCCTCCTCCTCCAACTCTCCTCCTCCTCCTCCTCCCTCCTCGTCCTCCTCCTCTTCCTCGTCCTCCTCCTCCTCCTTTCTTCTCCTCCTCTCTCCTCCTCCTCATCCTCCTCCTCCTCCTCCTCCTCCTCCTCTCTCCTCCTCCTCCTCCTCCTCCTCCTCCGCCTCCTCCTCCTCCTCCTCCTCCTCCTCCTCCTCCTCCTCCTCCCCTCCTCCTCCTCCTCCTATTCCTCCTATTCCTCCTTTTCGTCCTCCTCCTCCTCCTCCTCCTCCTCCTCCTCCTCTCCCGCCCCACCTCCTCCGCCCCCTCGATCCCGAAAATCCTCGGGGATCCCCTCGAATCCTGAAGCGCGCCACGGAAGCATGTGCACAGACACCCTCCGACGAACATGCTGCGTGTGCTTTCAGGGAGGGCGGCGGTGCATCAGATCGCTGGCTCCCAGTGGTGATTTCTGCGCCGCCACCCTCCCCTGAGGCACAGGAGCGATCTATTAACAGACAAAAGAACCGGAGGAACCCTGCGGAATCAAAAGAAATCCAGCGGAATCCTGCAACGTCCTAAAAATTAGAAGGAATCCGAAAGGATCCTGCCGATGCCTCTCGAACCCTCAGAAAACCTGCTGCATCCTGCAAATCCTGCGGGGCGGTTTGAAGTCCAAAGGAATGATCTAAAATGAGAAATAACCCGCAGGAGTCTTATGGATATTTCAAAATTCTTGGGCAATCTCGACATCTGTGGAAGCTAGCGAGATTCGCAAAAATCCCGAGGAGTGGCGGAGGTGGACGGGCACGGGGCGGGGCAGGAGGGGAGCTGGCGGGATCTGACGGCCTTGGAGGAGGGAGCGTAGGGGGGATCGAGGACCGGGCATCGAGGATCGAGGAGAAAGAGGAGGAGGAGGAGGAAGAGGAGGAGGAGGAGGAGGAGGACGAGGCGGAGCGTGAAAAAGGAAATCCAGATCCCAGCCACACTACGCTTCCTTCCTTCCCAGCCGTGCCTGCTCCACGATGGAGTCGAGGGAGGTTCGGCACAACAGATGCCTCTGGCGCCTCCGCGTTGGGAGACGTGTGGCCAACCTCACGACGTCTCTCACTAGGACGGCTTGGGGAAGGAACAACGGAAACGAACTCTGCTGGGACGCTAAGCGATGCGCGTGATAACATGCAACTGCAAAGGCCACTGAACCGCCTCGAAGCCCAAGGAGGAAGAGAAGGTTCCCTGGGAGCAACGAGCGCAGAGCCATGGAGGCGACATACTGTAACCTACGGCAATTCCATGCATAGTGGTTGGCGCTATCCGGAGCACCGCACCCGAAGATGCACTGGGCATCAAGTCGGGCCATCCAGCGACTTGTGACCCATGACCCAAGCCACGATATGATAGCAATCTGGGCCCACGATGGGGGGGGGGCAACCGCAGCAGCTCCATCGTGGCATTCTCTATATTTTTCCAGACGAAGGAGGGAGCGAGGTGACGACGGACACGAACGAGGATGTGAGCGGGGAAGGAAGGTGTCCGGTACAGAGCAGCCAGGAATCAAAGCTTAAACTCCCCCTCCCACCGCGGTCTCCCTCTCGCTTCTCGGATCGCGGGATCCCGAATCACATGCAAGGCAGCCGCTTCGCTCTGGTTCAGAGCGCGCTGGAGGAGGCGAGAACGAGGACTGGCGAAGAAATCGAAGGAGGGAGGACGAGCAGGAAAACCCCGGGATGCCCACTCAAGGGTGCACGCGATTGCCTCGGACTGCCAAAACTCGGGGGCGTGCCGCGGAGACTGCTACCAACTTGCGGGTCCATGGGAGACCACGGCCGTCCGCAGGCGGGCGATCTGAGCCTGCCATGTCAACAGTGTTGCCAGCGAGCACCGCATCAACGCGGCCGCATACATGGACAGGGTAGTGGGCAAACGAGGCAACCCCCAAGACTGGAGTTCGAATCACTCCGCGTGCGAGACTATCGTGCACGGGGCGCGCATGAAACGAACAAAAAAGCATCCTCTCACGCACTGCCATGGCCCGGGGCATAGAAAACACTTGGGCTTGATAGGAGAGTACAGGTAGGGCACGACGCACATAAAGCTCAACACATGCTTCAAAATGGGCTCCTGAGCCGGTAATATCAACAATTCTAGACAGGAACTTCTGGGCGGGTCCACTACATTGATCCAGGGAGGTCGCCGCGGGACCGAGCCGGACTCCTAAATATATTAACTCGCCGACGATGTTAAAGGCAGCCTAATCAGCATCGGCTTCAGAGAGAATGGAGCAGAGGGAGGGCGACGCCAACTCAAGATAAAGAGGACCATCGAGAGGGACAGCATTGCACTTCGACGTATTGACTCTTAAGTTCGCAAGCTTCTTGGCATGCGCGAGTATGCGGGCCAACGCGAAATATCCCCGCCGCCGCCACACCACAGCCCCCATATCATCAGCGCGCGCTCGAGTGCTACCTCGCTTCTTGGCGTCTACATGCATCGTGATAACTTCGAGAAATGGGCTAAGCGCAAAGATGAAGACTGTGCCGCTAAGAGGGCAAGTAGCAAGGATTGAAGCGTTAAAACCCAGAAACAGCGACGGGGAATCCCGACGGCAGCCTGTGACACCTAAGACTCATGAACATCCACTCTTGCCCCACCGAGGGGAAGGCCTGCGCAAAGTCGAACGACAGAAGCGACGACGGCGACATCAGAGCCCCAGGATCACACGCCTTCCCCTCACAAAGCGCTCCCGTCTGCGGGCGAAACGCGCACGAATTGATGCTAGCCATGCGTGCTACCGTTTCGAGGTCGACAATGTTGTTAACAATATTCCGTCCTGACAGAACAACCCCCCTGGCATCGTGCTGCCAGCCCGCGCACAGCCGGGAATCTTGCTCGATTCAAAGTCCGCCAGCTTTGTTGGCCGTATTTTTCAAACCTAACGGGCGAGTGTGCCCAGCTGATCTGGTGAGGGCCTCGAGCTCATCGGCTTCGCCTGCAACTGGTTTCGGGAGAAGCACCGCTAGCGATTCTGAAAACACACAAGGGCACCAGGCCGCCAGCCATAATTCAGAGCAGACAGTTGTAAAGAATCTGGGTTCCCTGACCCACTCGCCAGGCCCGGAAGTGAAGACCATCGGGCCCAGGGGCACTACCGAAGGAGCGAGCAAAGAAGGAGCGAAGGGGCCGCAGAGTCAGGGGGGAGGGAGGAGAAATATCGGCTGGCCTGGAAGCGCTCCACATATCTTTCGGCAGCCCGTGGAGCAGGCGAGCACTCTTCGAAAACTGGGCGCCAGTAATGCGTGAGGGCCTCGAGCTTACCTGCGGGGCCCACCGCGCTCGGCTCTGTAGCGCCAGAGCCTCCAGTTGCCGAAGTGATGCAAGCAAGCCAAATGCTTTCGCCGTCGGAGCGGGTTCCATAAGTGCGCGCGCCGACCAGCCGCCGACTTCCTGCCAAGCGCGCGCTTGCGCCGCCCGGGGCAGACAGCTTCCCCGGCTTCCTTTTCAAGGCGCTCCTTCCGACGGCGTGCCTCCTGCAGCTGGAGGCCGCTGTGCAGCGCGCTGAATCAGGCGGGGTCCGCGAGCGAAAACTCGCCGCCAACAGAAACCAACACCACAACTCTAGGCCAAGGGTGATGCGCGCGGAGAGCACGTGCATTCTGCCTATGCACCGCTCTCGCAGTGGACCGGGCCACCATCGCACGCGACTCAAGACGTCGCGGCTGCTGCTCGAGCTGCAGATCGCGAGTCGATACTCCCGCGAGCTGTCGACAGAGGACCGAAAGTCTTAACTCCTCGGGCGGGTCGCAGAGATCAAAACCGATCTGAGCCTCATAGGCTTTGACAATGTCAGCAAACATAGGGTCCGGAAGGAGGTGGAGAGGGAGGGGGCGAGGCCGATCTGAACGAGGAGGCGGACGATCAGAGAAAACGAGGGAGACGGAGGAGGAAGAGGAGGAGGAGGAGGAGGGAAGGGAAGGGAGGGGGGAGGGAAGGGGAGGGAGGGAGGGGGAGGAAGGAACGGCGCGGATGCGACGCGCGGCTTCCCTGAGTGCGTGCTCGGGGAGAGGAGGGGCGAGGGAGGAGGGGTAGGGAGGAGGGAGGAGGGAGGAGGGAGCAGGGAGGAGGGGGAGGAGGAGGAGGAGGAGGAGGAGGAGGAGGAGGAGGAGGACGAGCAGCCAGCAGGAGTTCTCCGAGAAACCGAAAAACCCTGGAAACATGGAACCCCTAGCCACTTAAGGCGGGAGGGGGAGGCGATGCCTCAAGATGAACGAGTTCAGGCCAGTGGGGGCAACGGGTGTGAAGAGTGCAGCCTCTCTGCCCCTCAGCCGCCCTGTAGCGTCGTTACAGCCAGAATGCACGGATGGACCGGTACACCGAAATCTGCACGGATGGACCGGTACACCGAAATCTTAAAGATTTGCATTCACAACGGGGCCCCAGTCTTGGGGTGGCGGCCACGCTGCACCATGTCGGCCTTCCGCTTTTGGTTGGCCCTGGTGGCAGGATTGGAAGACGGCCCCGCACACTTCGAATTCAGATTCGAACGACCGCTCCACCCCTCCTCCCCCGACGCCGAGGCCCCACACTGGGTGCAGCAGACCATGGCACCGTGGGTGACCAGGAGGAGGAGGAGGAGGAGGAGGAGGAGGAGGAGGTGGGGGAGGAGTAAGCAGAAGATGAGGAGGAGGAGGAGGAGAAGGAAGGAGGGAGAGTCGAGAAGGAGGAGGGAGCAGGGAGGAGAGAAGGAGGTACGGAGGCGAGAGCAGGGTGAGGAGATCCAAAAAGGAGGAGCAGGGAGGAGGAGGAGGAGGAGGAGGAGCAGCAGCAGCAGCAGGAGGAGGGAAGGGGGAGGAGGAGAAGCAGGAAGGTGGGGGAGAAGCAAGGGTCTCTGGACGAGCGGGCTCGTACCGTCGTCATCGCTATTCGTCACCATTGCTGCCATCAACAGGCCGACTTTGTCGTCACAGTCACCCTGCTACTTCCACACACGACCACGTACTCCACCACCAGCGCCATTGGCACCCCGCCAGACCCTGCACACTTCCAACCACGCCCTCCCTCACCAAGACCCTGCGGCTTCTCTTCAGTCTGGCCCTTGCCTGATCTGGTCGAACTTCACCTCCGCCTTGCCGCTATACTCGGTGAAGCTGACCTTGTAGCCCTTCTCCGTCTGCTCTGTAATCATGCAGTCGTACCACAGGCCATCTTCTGGAAAAACCGCCTGCGGGGGCGGCCGTGCCATCAGGGTTCCAAGCCTGCTTCCCTTGGTCGCGGATCGATCAAATGGCATGTGCGAACAAATCTGGAAGGTCACCGGCCCCTCCCCGATTGCTTTGTGATCGTGCAGTCGTCCCACAAACAAACACATCCTGCTCATTCGTCTTCTCGCCCTCCTCCTCCGCCTCTTCCTCCTCTTCCTCCTCCTCCATCCCGTTTCCGTTTCCTCATACAGAGCTCATCCCTGTCGCACCTCCAGACGAGTCGGCAGGGCGGGCTGGGCTTTTCGCCAGATACTTCCTCACAACGTGAGGTATGACGTTTGAAATTTGCAGCAAAGTCTAGGATGGAGAGCGGGTGGATGTTCAAATGTGGTACTCGCCTTAGCGCCGCGCACAATTGTCTTCAAACATGGCAACAGCTTCAAATATGGAAGGCGGGCGGTTTTCAAAATGTGGCTCCCGCCTTAGCGCCGCGCACGGTCGTCTTACAAGCTTGCAATAGTTTCAGAGATGGAGGGCGGGTAGTTATCAGTGGCTCTCGCCTTAGCGCCGCGCATGTTCGCCTTAACATTTGCAACAGCTTCATGCACGGAGTGTGTAGTGTTTTCAGCATGTAGTTTTCGCCTCAGCGCTGCACGCAGTTGTCTTACACGTGCACAGCAAGCTCAAAGATCCGTAGGCTTGAAGTCCCAGGAAAGGTGTTCTGGCACGAGTTGAGACTGTCAGGACGCAGCAATCATGCTGATTCGCGGTGCTGAAATCTCAGGAACGGTGTTCTGGTACGAGTTATGACTGTCAGAACACAACAATTCCATTGATTCGCGGCGTTGAAGTCCCAGGAGTTCTGCCTTGGTAAAATTGTTTTCAGACGGTTGTCTTTTTATGGGGTGCTATTTTATGTTCAATAATTTCTTGTAGAAGCCAATGCAGAGGGAATTTGGAGGCAGGGTGTATTGCCACATCGTTGATGCGTCTTGGGTGTACACTGGTCCTCCTCCTCCTCCTCCTCCTCCTCCTCCTCCTCCTCCTCCTCCTCTCCCTCCTCCTCCCGAGACGGCCCACCCGCCCTGCCGAGGGGCGTGTGTGTGTGTGTGTGTGTGTGCAAATTCTTCACTATTTCCTCGCAGCATAAATAAAAGAGGAAGACCAGGAAATAAGCATCCGCAACGAAGGAACGCTGAACAATAGCCCCTCTAGAGAGGAACTTCTTTGGAGCTGCCCCGCGACGGGGCAGCAGCATCAACAAATCGCCTTGGTCAACTGACACATAAAACGATTAAAACTTCCAGCGCCAACCAACGCATAGTTGTGGATTTGTGCCGCGTGAGAGTTACAAGCCGTGCACAGAATTGATCTGTCGAAAAACGTGACGGGACCTCTAGATCTAATGATCGGCCTACTTGCTCGCAGGGGATCGATATGCTGGAGTCCCGGGCCGCTGGGGTCCCCGGGCCCAGAACGTACATAGCCAGAACGCTCGTCGCATGTGTTTCACAACGCCTGGATGTCAGGGCAGCCTGGCAAGGTACCCTGAGATTCGCGGCGCGCACAAGGGGGTGGGTCGAGGTGGGGTGGCCTTCTAAGAAACATGTTTTTTTGGTCGGCGGGGCGAGAGCGAACCTCTTCCGCTAAAAGCTAGGCGGGCGACGCACAGCTTGAATTAGGGAGACAGGGCAGAAGAGGGCGGGACCTCAGGCGGCCGGAGTGCCTTTTCAGAAACAAGTGGGCTCCATAAAAAGATCGGACGCTGCTGAAAAAAACGTCTTAGAAAGCCACCACCCTCGCCTTACCTCCGACGCAAATCCGCTCCGAACCGGTTACCAGCCCCCCCCTGGGAACTGTCGTGGCCAGCTTTTCGAGCTGCGTCCAGCCGCGATGATTTCCAGAAACGCCCAAAAACCTCAGGTGGTTACCCAGACACGTTCCAAGAGGAACAAAAACTGCACAGACCAGATTTCTCTAAGTCCCGCACAGATTTGCGGGATCGGCGTTGGACCTCCCCGACTTGCGCGCGAAGCGCGCCAGGGGTGGCGCAGGAGGCGCCGCCAGGAGGGCCCGGCGCCCACAAGAAATCCGCGCGGAGCTCCGACATAGATGCATGCCGCCGTTCGCCCTTGAACAAAAACTTCCTCATGGGGGGCCACATGCGAACCCTACAGTCTTTCCTCTGAGAATCGGGGTAAGATGCCAAAGGAATTAAGATCTCATGTCCACTCTGCTCAGGGAGAGACGGGGCGGGATGATACATCGATAAGACAAGTATCCGGTAAGCAAGTTTACTGCATCAGGAATGTGAAGGGAGGAGGCCGGCCCGCCGACGACCAACGACACGCGACGGCCGAGGGCAGGCGCGCTCCTTTTCTTTCCTGCAAGCAAACAAAAGCTTGTTGAGTAAACAAACAGCTGCAGTATGCAGCATTAGTTCGAGTCAGACAGTGCGCAGCATGCAAGATGGGTCATAATGTATACATTATTATGAAGCGGAGAGGAGCATATTTACTCCCCCCCGCGGCGGGCCTCGTAGAGCCCATCCGGCCACAGCACCCCCGGCCTAATTATTTACAACCACCGGAGCGAACCGCACAAAAAAAATACCGCTCAACGGTGGCCGCCAGAGGGCTAAGGGCCGAAGAGGCCCGACGACTCCCACATCGTTAAAATAAGTTCTCTCCGCTGGACCAGCTTAGCCGACCAGTAGAGTTGTTAGCCCGTCCAACACGCGCGCCGCGCGTGGACGGGAACTTCCATGCATGCGCCTGCCGCGACTAAGTCACGCGGGCGGATCTCAGCCCAGCTCATCCCACGGGTTCTCCTCTTCCGTGGGCGGCGCCGGAAGCGGCGGGTTCGACGGCGCCGAACCTCCAGTCTGTCCGTCTCCGCCGCGAGGCGAGCGGGACCGTCGCTTTCCTTTGCTAGTATGATCTGCAGCACTGTAGCTCTTCTCCTGGTTCTTGGACGCCTTCCCCTTATTCAGCGGGAAGTGAGCGTCATGCTCAAACGTAGACAGCGTATGCCACAGATCCAGCGTCCACCAGACCTCGTCGGACAACCACGTGATCCGGTCCCGGTGGACGTAGTGCCCGACATGAACATCGTTCACGTAGCGCGGGTAGGACACGCGCGGGTCGTAGCCAGCAGCGCCGCGGCCCGCGCCCATGGCCCCATCGCGCGCGCGCCGGGGCACCGACCGATCCCAAGCGTTGGAATGCATTGAGTATTCCTCTCTCGTCGCCACGGCTGAGCCGGCGACAAACGCGGGGATTCGGTAGCGTCATCGGCAGCCCGAACGTCTGAGACGTCGGGTCTGAGCGGTCGAGGTGCTGCTGGTGGTCTGGCTTTCACCTCGTCCTGTGCCCTTATTGGTCCCACGGGAGCGGCTTCGCCGCCGTGGTGTGGATTGTCGTGTCTATTCTCACGATCTCGCATAAATTTTAACAAACTCCTAGCAGCGGTAGCTACTGGGATACCATATATTCCGCATGCAGTGCGGAACGGTCCTGCGACAAAATCCTGGAGCTCTGTCCCAGGATCGGTATATTTGTCCTGAAGCCAAGAAATGGCCTCTTGCAACAGAGCACCCTTGCAACGGACGTCAGTCTGCACCTTCCTGCCCAGATTACGGGCCCATTCCTCTAGTATGTCGTCCGTCTGAACGGCGGCGCGAATGCGGCAGTCAAGAGCATATTCATCTTTCCGTCGCATCTTAGCAATGAGGTCCGTGCTCGCTCCGTCGGGGCGAATTACTCGCCCCGGGTAACCGATAAAATGTCCCTCCGAAATGAAGGAGCTCATAGTCTCGCGAACGATCGCAACAATTCTTATGGGACGAAGACCCAGTTGCATCTGCTGTACGGAGGCCAACCAGCTTCCATCAACTATGTCCTTGACAATGGGTGGGACCTCATGTTCCACTTCCCCGATCAGTTGTATCCTATGGGGATCACTTGGGCGTATGCCTGTGTATTCGATAACACATTGAGCTGCAATCGCCCTTGCCTCTATCCCAAACAAAACTATTTCAACTGAAGGGTCTTCGCAGTGGTTGTATGCATATCCGTTGGGCTGATGGAGGTTGATCGCTCCTTCGGTTATCAGCGCAGCCTTAGGCCCGCTGATCGCTGAGAAGTCCAGTCCCATCTGTGATTGTTCGCCTGCCCTCGCGGCTGCGCCGGTGGCAGGTAGCAACGCTGGCACTATGAGGCGATGGTCCTCACATTCGTTGATCCGTCTTGCAACGGACTGAGAACTGCGAGTCGGCCTCGCCCTGAAATTGTTCTCCCAGACGACCGGCAATCGTCCGCGAGGGTTTTGCCCTCTAGGATTTTCTCCTACGTCTTCCGCAACGTCTTCATTCTGCACAGGCAACCATGGTGTCCCCAAGGCCGCCGCGCCATAAATTGTTTGAAGCGTCGGGGCGAAGACATTTGTTCTAGTCATGTCGCTATACCATCTCTCCCAGCCTATCACTGGTTCGACTATGTCGCCCCGTACACTTGGCCAGTCGAAGGCTGCCAAAGCTGGGCAAGATATTGGGCGAGCATACTGGCCAATATTCGTCTTCCATAGCAGCGGCCACCAGGTATTGATCGCTGGGGTGCGCCTTCTCATCCTTCTGGCTGAGTATTCAAGCCATCCTATGAACCTTCTGACCAAGGGCCTCAAATACTGGAAGAAAGGGCCATGGCGCGCCGGCGGCTGAGCCACGGCGTCCGTTGGTACCCAAGCAGGGAAATTGCCTGGCAGGCTGTTGCCGAATATCTGGCCTGATGCAGCCATCTTAACATATTCCCCACTCGCCCATTTTCGCTCCTGCTGATGATTACTGCTGATGTTCTTCATTACGAGCGCAGAAGCCCTCTGTTGTCCATCCCCACGCACTTCGATCCATTGGGCACGGTTCCAGGGAAGATTGGCGTGATCTCTCACCCGTAGTACAAGTCCATTCGCCTCAAGGGACCGCGGGATTATCTCAAGATTCCACGTCTGAGACATGTAATCGTGA